AGCCTCGTTCTCCGAAATCAGTCTTAATCTCTTCACTGCCTACACTTCCGGCAGGAGCAGCGGCAGGAGGAGGAAGAGCTCGAAAACGTCGCATTGTAGTGCAAAGGAGTTCAAAAAACGGTTTCAAAGACATCAATGCTCGTCAACTTCCTTCCGACAGGAACACTCTTGATGTTCGAAATGGTTCTTCCTTCGATTTACCATGACGGAGACTGTAACGGAATCAACACACTCATGATTCATCTTCTCTTGCTTCTTTGCGCAATGTCTTGCTTCTTCTTCCATTTCAACGATAGTATCAAAGCCTCCGTTGGTAAAATCTATTACGGTTTCGTTACACCGCGTGGACTCGCTGTTTTTATTCAACCGCCACCGTCTGATTTCGGAGGCGGATATGTGATTGCGGAAGCGGAGATTCCGGTGACTGATGAGAAGTATAAGTTGAAAGTTAACGACTTTGTTCATGCGGAGATTATCAGAATATATAATTGGTTTAGTATATTGGTTAGGAAGTATTCAACAGAATCTAGGATCTGGAATTGATGATGGCTGGTTCGTTAAGTTGCTCGACCATCCTGATTTCATAAGGCAGCTGGTTTCAAGAGAATTCATCGAAGCTTGCTTAATTCTCCTTTATAGCCTCTGCATATTAAGAAGATTCAGATTCTTTGTTGATTCGTCCATTACATGTTGTGGTGTTATTGAAGAATTGTGTACATATTCAGAAGGTATCTTTAGGCATCAAAGTCTTCATAGTCAGGGGGACATTCTTGAGTTTGTAGTCGTTATACTCTGCTTAAGCCTTTGGGACGATGATTGCTATGGCCTTCTTGAATCTGCCAGCTCATTCGATGGCTTTCAAGCCACTCCACTTGCTGCTCTAGTTCAGCGTTTAAGCCTCATTGTCAAGCTTGGTAATGCTTGTTGTTTTGAGGATTTGATGATCTCTATTATCATGAGATTGTTTCTATCAGAGATTAGGCTCATCTACAAATCTCTTTTGCAGCTCCAAGAAGTTCAATCTGTTGAGATATGTTTGTGTTCTCTAAGCTATGGAATTGCTGATGATATTTAACACGCTGTCCGAGATTGTTTCAGTGTTATGTTGTGCAGAGTTTGTTAGTTTGGTTTCTCTGATTTGTGAAGTTGATGTGAAGTTAGTGAACTTTGAAGGATTGCAGTTGATAGCTCTTCTTGCTGATGGTTCTTTTAATGGCTTTTTATGTCATTGAAGATGTTGCAATAGTTGAGCATTCAAGCTCCTGGTTTCATTTGATCTCTCTTGTTAGGCAACAAACCACTATCACAGTTGAATTTTGGCTTATGTAAAGCAAGAATTTTGCTGGTTTCAAGACCTCAATTCCTTATTCTGAGATGGTGTTGTTCAGTTTTGCTGTGAGGTTAATCAAGCTACATATCACACACATTTTGGGGGCTCTGATGTATGATGATTCACCGGAAGCTGAGTTCAGTTCAGTTTGCACACCTCTCCAGGTGATGCTTAATACTTCTGTGTTGAATCTCCTTCGAATCTCTTGGTGATGTATCTCATCCTCTAGTTCTGCATTTGGTTTATGCTAGCACAGAAACACCTTTGTTTTTGTTTCTTCGTTGCTGCATAGTACCTACGGAGCTATTGACATTTGAGGAAATCTTTGCTTCATCACGTGTTGTTTCACGCCACGAGGAGTTTGCTTTTTCATTAGGCCCTGTAACATTGCAGTTTCCACTTCTCGGGTTTGTTTTGGGTTTTCTAGCTGAGCAACAAATGGTGCATCAGTTTCTGTTTTGCCTAACGTCCATACAGCCACAAGCAAGTGATGTCATTTGCGTGTCAAAGGAGCTGATTTTGGTTTCCAGCACATGGCACCTTTATGCCCATGGAAATTGAGAATTTGCAAGAGAATGGACTGCATTTGATATTGGTTATAGAGTTGTTATGAAAAGACAGAGCCATGATTATGAATTCATTGGCAAGATCTTTCAAGGTCATTCTGGTTGGTTTGGCTCCTTGCTTGGATTCTTCTATGGTTCATTTGAAGTCTCTTGTGTTTTCAGCCTCAGGCTCTTACAATTTTGCAATCTAAT